ACTCCGCCATGGCCATACTGACACATTATGTATATTTGCATCAAATTACCAACCAGAATTTGGGTCCAGAAAGCTAAAATGAGGCTTTGTAATTGAACTAAATTGAAGCAAAAATGTGGCGCTGTAATTTTCTTGATATAAATTTACATTCACATTTGCTTTCATGTTTGCAGTCGTGTCTTAGTCACGAATGAAATAACGAGTCAACTAAAATGCCAATAATATGCTTCATGTATAATGCATTGCAATTGCTTTGATCAAAGGACCACAAAACTCTAAAATATGCAGCAGACTAATTATTGTACCCTGGTTGTTGGGATGATTTACTCCCACTGTCCCAAAAGTAATTTAAGTTTAGACAATTTCCCACTAATTGTCTGGAACAAAGTAATTATCGTCGGTAAAGCGTTTATCCAAGGGGAATTTTGTGTAAGATATTAATTATTAATCTTATCTTTACCAAAATTCTTATCTCGATTCCCAGCCTTTGACATAAAAATTTAGCCTCTCTGTCGTGCTAATATTTGATAATACTATTGACTAATCCTGGTGCATTTTATCATACCAATATAGCTCATTGCTTCAGCTTTGGTTGATGTCCATGGCAACCACTAAGAATTGTTTTGGGGCAGCTTCTGGGCATTTTTACTATAGCTTCGGGCTATGTCCGAACAATAGCCCTGCTCAGTAATTACGATTTATTATTAAGACGACTCATCTTGTCAACTGCTCTTAATTGTCCTGATTTTGTTATTCGTTTAATTCGGATGCTCAATTTCCAAATTGTATATAGTTTGACGTAGTGTCACGGCTAGCCATCCTGTGTCCAGTGGCAGGAGGCCATTCTTTATAATGTACCTCACGTGCATCGCTCATTTTCTTATCATTGGTTTCAATCCGCTTAATCATAGCAATTACTTTTATTTCCGGTCAAATTTACTGTCGACTGTGGACTTGGGTTCGGTTTCGTTGCCTAGTTTGGTTTGATAATTTCGTGTAATTAAGTTTAACGAGATGTTACGTACTGAACTAAAATTAAGGGCTTATAGTTTAGTTGGTCTGTAGATTCTGTAGAACAATCCTGACATTTATGGATGACGTTCGAATTTAAATTGATTGGGCTGTCAAGTGCCAGTGTAACATAATTAGTGATAATTTTGGTGACATTTTATAATACGACAAAGTATAATTACCATAATATTGTATTTTATGTATGACGTGAGATGAGCTACGTTAAGCTTGAGTTACGTATCAACGTTCATGTCATGGTCATACAACCCGCAGACATGCGTCCTCTCACTATATCAGAACACTCGCATATCCTCCCCACCAAGGCATCAATCTAGACAAGAAAGGTTGTCATCGGGTGTTATATATCCACTTTATATCGGCTCTCGATCGATCGCGATTGTTTCTTGTAGATCAGCATATAAGGTTGCAAGGTGTGACAGCTTGTCAATTGTCACAGTTATATAGCGTCACGTTGTTGGGAATACCTGCCATTGACCTAAAACTGACAGTACTGTTCATTTCATTACCGCTCTCAGCTCACTCTCCTTCTTCTACCTCTCTTTGAAGTGTCCAGATGAGTCATATTGTTTATTACGGTCACCGTCCTCATCAATCACTTGACTACCGGTACGTACGTACATTCAACTGAAATGTACATGTAATATGTTTCGGATCTCGTCCGAGTATCATATAATAATGATCCATTGTTTTATCGTATTATATAGTGCGGTGATAGTTAGTGCGGTATGAACAGTGTCTGTGGCCAGTGCATCACTGTTTTATACTTTATATGGTCTGTGTACGTGCACTGTGTGTTGCTGTGTCATGGCTGGCTGTTTGCGTGAACTTGATACTTATATTTTAAATACCTATTCAATATTCATGCGACTTTGCTTACTTGGTAGAACTAGACATCGCTCTTGGATCTTCAGGATTTGTGGAGTTGTACAACCGCAATGCCTTAATTGGGTGAAGGAAGGAGACACCGTCGTCAGTTATTACTTGTAATTGTAACGTGTCATGTCTTATGTCAACACCCAGGTTATCATTCTTATCCCGAGCGTACAAGTAATTGCTTGCAACGTTATTTAATCTAGTAAAATCGTTTTGCGAACTTCTCAGAACTAGCTAGAAAAATTTCAGCAGATTTTCTTGGGCTTGCTTCTTTGCTTGTGTGAATACCGGTGCTCCAGGCGACAACCAACAAATTTTGTAATTTTGTAGTTGCCCTATCACCGACATGCTATGTTGAATGTTTACATTTCAGTTCAGAAGTTCTCAACTATGTACCTACACGCATATGGCAGTACCTAGATATGTGATTTCTGGACATTTTGTGCAACATAAAGTTTTCAGCCTGTTGCAGTTGCACGGCCTGTTGATAAGTTCAGGGACATTTGTTAAACATAAAGTTACACTGTGACAATAGAAAAACACATTTAGTTTTACAAAATAGCTCCAGCCCGGCCATGTTAAACAAATAACTGAGGGAACTCATTTTATTGTCAGAGTTCAAGAAGGTGGTAATATGACCCATTTCCATTGACACAAAATTAAAGTTGCGCCCTATATATGATATATGTACATAGTCTCTACTGAATTATGCGAGTGCTCGATAACAAAAAACATCGTTACTATTGTGGAGAACCCTTACCGCGACTGTTATTTGAGGTGTCCACATAGTTGTCCCGTTAGCGCACAATTGTTACTGCAATTTCACCTCGTGTTCTAAAGTTCCCGTTACACAGAGCTGTCACAAGTTCCACGTGACATTTTGTGTTGAAACCGCAGGTGCTATCCGCACATTCCGGTATTCAGGCTAGATTATGTTGATGATGGAGCATGCGCACGCACTATCCTAGGTTAGCTTTCGTTTTGCAAGGTTGCATCCGGCTTTTTAAACTAATCAATGTGTTGGTTTGAGCTGCTCCAAAGGTGTGGCAACAGCCTCAGACCAAAATACCTGCCTGTGTTTGCCTTGACTATTTTGAAGATTAAACGATCAAACGCTAATGACTGGACTGTAGAATTTTTTAGCTTCCATCTGTGATCAATTATAGTGAAAATACTTTTGAACCCGTGCAATGTTCACACCTTTATTATGCCAATTCATAACCGACCAGTATTGTGATTCCTGTAATTTTGCTAAAGCACCGCACTTTATATTATGAGTAAACTTCGACTGTATTTTAAGACCCAAGTAGTTAAAGTTGATATTATGAAGGATTTGATAGTTGGAAAATAAATTTTTTTTCCCCGATTTATTGTCCACCTCGCTAGCCTACCCAAAAAGATAACGACGCCACGGCATAATTGACTTATAAGTTATAGTTATTGTATGTATAAAACATGCAATATGTTTGCAAAATGTATCATATTGATTCTCTTAGAGACACAAGAGCCATTGGTTTATCACTTACCTAAGTAAGGCAAAGCATTGAGGAGACAATGTTGCGTCAAATTTCACGAGGGCAGTATTTTTTGTAGAATTAAATTAGCGAATGTTAAACATCATACCAATGCATTCCCTGTCTCGGCTACAACATATTAAACAGATTCACCGTTACAGTTCGTCCTCATTACAGTTATATAGTACAACAGATTGTATGATTCGAGAGTTACGCATAGCGATCTGCTGTTACAGCATCGATTTCAAACACCACCATTTAACCTTTATCACAGTTAACCCTCGTCGGGTATTCAATATTGCTCACTTCTTTACTTGTTCTACAGCGAGCCGAAAGGTTTCGTGCTTTAACATTCTTGATTCTCGCCGTTATTATCAGTCGTAGTCAGGGCAGTGTGTTTAAAGTATTGTGTTATCGTGTAGTTCAAATCCTATGCGGGAATGTTCCTCGTCGTTCATCGTCTTTAATGGGTTGTTGAAATATGTTGAATCTTGGTTTTACGTCATCATGTGTGCAATTAGTATTAAAACCGCGAGAGTCTACCTTTGGCTCGTATTAAGCTGTTACGTTTTAGCTGTCCTGCACATTTATCATTAGAAATTGCTTTATAATGATGTTAATTGGGCAAAGTAACGCGTCAATCTTGAACAAAGAATTTTATACCAATTTAGATCTGTCTGTCTGCTTTAAACAGGTCCGCCGTACGTTGATCAATCGTTTCAGGAAGTCTTGCTGCCTTGAGTGATTCTGCTAACTTGCAGTAATCAGATGTCAGCATTTTGAACTGACAATGACATTGGTGTCATTTGACGTACCCTTTTACGTACTTTCCTATAATACTAGGTCCATTCTAGAACATTGCACTTTTAAAATTATAACTCAACTTGTTGGTAACATAGTTATCAACAAGTTAAGTTATTTATTCGAACTTTTCATCTAGAAGTGAAACAAATTCTTCATGTTATGGAGCCAGGGTGTGGACAGTTATTAGCTTATGTTATTAATTTATGCTAAGTTATTTATTTTATTTTAATATGTTACATAAATGTTTTATAATGGTCAGTATATAACACGTTTTTCATTTCTTTTTAAGATTTAAGAACTTCTCATAGAATCTCTCCACTTTTCTACAACTTTCATATTATTATGTTTTTGACCTTTAGTTTAACTTTTAATTTGTATGTCTCGTTCATCATTTCTGTGGTACGGATTCATGAAGTCCTTTGATGAAGTAGAGTGAGATCTATCATCTTTGATAAACATTCATTTGTCATCGAAGAGTGTTTAATGTATCATAACATTCAATTATTATATATTAGATCATTCCAGGCCACGCTACTTTGATTGAGTACACATAACTGGAGATTCAATTACCATCACCTTGTATAAAACGAACAGTTATGTTAATTATGCTTCAGTAAATTTATGCAGCTACTGCCTGTATTGTATAATAATTTTTATTGTTAGCATATAATTATACGTTCTGAAAATTTATATGTTCTATATATTATTGTCGATTATTATTATTAGCTCAAGATATACATACTTAGTTCCAATTCATAATTGCGTAATATTTACCAAAAATATTTGTAGGGCATGTAAGGGAGCGGAAAGGCCACATAAGAATGAAGGGTGTTCTGTTTGGAGCTTTGGTTGGACTGCTTTTGGTAACTGTGTGTGACTGTGAAGCCGCTGAAGCTACTGAAGCCGCTAAGGCTGATGAAGCTGCTGAGGCCCCTGAAGCCGGTAATTATTGTAAAAAGAAGACTTCAGATGGTATCCCTACCGACGTAAATGGAAGCTGCAATTGCTTCTATAATGAAGTTGCCTTCTACCCAAAGGACCTATTCACCGAATGCCAAATAGGGGATGGTGCAGTTATTTTTCATGTCATGGGTATGCTCTACATGTTTACAGCTCTGGCGTTGATCTGTGATGAGTTCTTTGTACCCGCCTTGGAAGTCATCATAGAGGTTACCGATATCAGTGACGATGTCGCCGGTGCAACCTTTATGGCAGCTGGTGGCAGCGCCCCGGAGTTCTTCACCTCTGTCATCGGTGTTTTCATATCCGAATCACAAGTTGGTGTTGGAACGATCATAGGATCTGCTGTGTTTAATGTTCTCTTTGTGATCGGAATGTGTGCAGTTTTCAGCAAGGAACTTTTGACCCTTACCTGGTGGCCCCTATTCAGAGACGTAACTTTCTACTCCATAGGCCTAGGAATTCTCATTGTTTCTTTCCTCGATCAAAATATCTTTTGGTACGAAGCCGTTGTCCTATTCAGGTTGGTACATATGCTACTGCCTTTTCATGAAAATCAATGAACCCATGGAAAAGTTTGTCAGTGCCCAGATCGCAAAACTGCCTTGTGTTCATCATGAAACGAAAAACGAACAGCCGAATGATGGAAACATTGACCATTCCCTGAAGACGATATTCAATGAGAAGAGCAATGGAGGAAAATCATGCAACTGCCAAGCGGTTCAACAGGTTGGTACCAGATATACTTTGAGTGCAAGTGATTTATCTAACTAGGTGCTTTTCTTTGAAAACGAATTAATTCTGTCGATTCAAATTATGATTTGAGATCATCGCAGAATGAATTCACTCGCTTCGAATTTTGTAAACAAGCGTAAATCCTATTGCAATTTATAAATCACGTTTGTCCCTTGGGACTTGGCGATGTTACCTGATGCCAGTAAAACATTGCTGTGATATATGATTGGGTATTTCAGTGTAAACACCTGTTCACATTGCAGGCATCCTACGAATCGGTTGATAAAAATGGCGATACTGAATCCTTGAGGGAGAACGGAAAGGACGATGCGGCGGTCCTCATTCCATGCACCAATCCAGAATGCCTGAACAGCAAAGTTACCCAGTTTCCTACACTAGCTCTGTGCGCTAACACGTTAGACCCAGTTGGAAACGGTTAGACATCGATCTTAGTCGTAATTACTTGATTATCCTTCCAGCACATTTTTTGTTACACCTGTTGTAAATACACACCTGCTGTTACACAAGCTTTAAAAAACTTAACATTTATAGTAAGTTCACAGAGTTGCCATTCTTGGTGAACCTCGTACTCATAACCTTCCGCATTCAAGCCCTATACTCTACAGTGTTATGATTAGCGCACACACTCACACTGTATAATCATGAAATAAGCTGGCATAAGATCTGCTCTCTGCTAATTTGTGTTTGCGCTGAACTAGCTCTCGCTTCACTGTATATATAACACCTAGCTGGTACTACCAAAACAAACCTTGTGCGCACTATGACTGTACCATGCAATGGTAGCTGGTCATGCTAGGCAGACCAGACAGGCTAACTTTTTAGAGGTGGTCGGCACCTCCCTGCGCAGTTAAAACGTTTTTTTTTGTCCAGTCTGTACAATGCTCAGTTAAGAGCCGACATAGCTTAGGGTTTCGTGATTCAAAGTGTTATAGTGACATGTCCAACATTCACAGAGATTCTTACCCTCACAACTAATTGAGTTTTGAGCACATGTGCCACAGCCCACCAACCGGGCTTGGATCTAGAACCCTGAAATTTGACCGACCATCACTATCACCTGCTACACAAGTGATATAACATTTACCTGATTATGCCTTGACCCGGGCCCTATGGGGCTTGCATCGTCATATTTCAGGTGACGTGTAGCTAAGTACCGCAGATTGTTGTCTAAATCTAGGCCGCCATAACCATGGCGTCTAAATAAAGACATCGAACTACACAACACTATGGAGCCATTATACCAGACTGCTGCCAAATATAGAGATTCGTGAACTGTTTATGAGTGCCACGAAAGTGTGATTTATTGATCTTCTGACTGGCACAGGTATGCGTGCATAATGCATATGATATTATGGCGATGCGTTTTTCTTTGTCAAATTTAGACAATTTGACCCAAATAGAGTTGAAAAGATTAATTTGACATATTACTACTACATGTAAAACACTGCACTCCTACAATTAGATAAACCAAAAGCTTCATTATAGTATAATCCTTTACAATGAAAACGACTTTGACGGTGTATTTATGCGATCACCGTGAATGTACCTTGACACTTGAACAACTTGACGTCATGCAATGCAGAAGGTATGGCTTTGTAGCTGTTAATTTACGACATGTATTAGCTTAATCACCGACGACAGAGTACCGCCTTTATAATAGCCTGCAAATGTAGACGCTTCCTTCCCTCGCTGCTAGGGTGCTGACGCATTAAAGTCTGCTTATATTCTTTATAATACATGCAACTTTAAAATGCTCTCAACAATCTCAGATGTATTACATCATAGATTTAAGGACCTTTCTTGGAGAAATTTAACCAGCCAATCCAAATTTAAGATTTCTTCCAATTTGCTCTTCAGTAATCAGTAGGCTTGCAATAAACTGGACCAGGCCATAATTGTATGATTTTAGACAATTCAGAATAGATTAGTACGCTATGAGATTGATGAGGACAGCCATAGAACTGTGTCTCTTACAGACCTTTTGATCATGGATGATGGAATCGAAATCTCTGGTGAAATAAGGCAGAATAATTTGCAGTAGAAATTATGATATCTTCGCTAAATAATGTATGTAGTACAATATGCCTAGTGCAGAATTGATACACTTATCAATTAAGGCCAGAGGGGGGGGTAAATGGCACTTTTCTAGTTTTCACATATTTGATAATAGCTGCTGGAGACGAAGAAGAAGAAAAAAACCGGATCAAAATCTGACCTTGCGTTCCTGAGATATCGCGCGCTAAATTTTGAGGTTTACCTGTAATTACATGTTAAACTGGATCTTTAAACGGCTGTAACTTTTTTGACCTTTCGATTCCTTAGTTGAGAAAACCGGCCACTCCCTGATCTTGAGGTTTGGTACAGTGGTTCCTTAGACAATTATCCTCATTTATTATGTGAGCGATTTTTTTTATTTGACTCGGTTCTCGAATTATGAGGTTAACCATGTCAAAAATTCGGAAAATTTAGCTGGTTAACCTCATAATTCGAGAACCGAGTCAAATTTAAAAAATCGCTCACATAATAAATGAGGACAATTGTCTAAGGAACCACTGTACCAAACCTCAAGATCAGGGAGTGGCCAGTTTTCTCAACTAAGGAATCGAAAGGTCAAAAAATGTGTTTTGAGATAGATGCAATTTAGTGTTTTCAAAATTTTGAATATTCACTGGAATGTATCACAGTTCGTTAGTTAGGACTTTTTATACACTTAATAACGTTTGCTTGATTAGACCTGGCCGTCCCCTAAATGATTTTAGCCACTTTCAGTAGTTAATGTCCGTGTATTGTAAAAAATGAGGTTAACCAAGACTTCCTGTAAACACTAACTGCTTAAAATTTGGTTGTTAACCTCGCTTTAGACCATATAACACTGGGATTGGTTTATCAATATGTTATTATATATGTAGTAAAACATTTGCACAGTATAACGATTAAGGTTTTGAGGTTAACATGTAATTAACTGGTCAGATATTCAAAAAATGAGAGGTTAACCTCATTTTTTAGCCATTTACGGGTAAAATCTTCTACTAAAATATGGTCAGTTCAAATCACCTTTGTCACGTGATTATAGTTGTAGGCATTGTGATACCAATAGATACCTCACTTCGATATTGTGGTACATTACATAAGTAAGAATCGTATGTATATTCCCTACGGTACCAAAATGTGATGGTTAACCTCATTTTTTTCATTTTCTCAAGATAAAAGTAAAGTCAATCAACACGTCATCTATTTAGAAATTTGTATACCGTAAACTTACCATGAAAATAATAACTCTATCATTTGATCTATTCTCGCTATATCTAAAAGAAGAGGTTAACCTCATTTAATCACGTTTGGATATTACTTTTTCTGATAATTATGAACCTAAAATTTAGAGTTTACATTTGCTGACCGAAATAACAAAAAATTATGGCGTGTAATAAAATATGAACCTCAATTTTATTAACCTCAATGTTGTATAGTCAATTTTGTGAAAATCGGTTAACCTCAATCATAAAATAAAGTTAATCAGCTACAAATATGTGAATAGCAGCAATGTTTTTGTCATCAAAAATTAAATCGATTTAGAAAATAATATTTTGGTAGAATTTTTTGACCCCTTACCCCCCCCCCCCTCTGGCCTTAACATTAAGGCTTCCTGATTTAATGAGATTCATTAGAATTTCCAGGTTCTTGATAGCCACATGACATGGTTTTGCCTACTAAAAAATGGGTTTCAGAGCCTTTGTAAATAGCACATTTTATCTTTTGACGCTTCAGTCACTCTCCGGGATATTTGCATCTTGAATTTGAGACTTTACAGAATTTGTATTTATACATTCCACTTTTCAGCTGTCTATTTTCGAATTCTCTCGATACCTGTACAGTTATTATAATGAAATATGATTGGATAGCTTTTAGCTACATGAGAATAGTTTTAAATGACGAGGTTTCTAGTAACTGTTGATATCCAAGAATGCACGAGTTTTTCCTGGTGAAATTCTCAACATATTTAATTTATTATTTTCACTTTCTAAACCTCTCCACATGATGATTATTACTCAGTTGACGACTCCAGACAAGGCCAGTCTAGAGATATGACCGATGACCAAGGTAATCCTATGACACGACACTTGATAAAAAAATCTTTGCAAATTTGAGATCCGATAATGAATAACATTTGGTATAGATTTATACCTACCTCATTTGTTTCTTGCCTGGGATATTCGTTGCTATGATTTGTCATTGACGTAGAGATCCACTGTGTCCTTGTTCGAAGATTTCAGCACTTTTTAGTTATCTGAAATCGAATAGAAGATGCCATAGAATACCCCAGGTAAGACTTTTGGACATGTATTGCAATTACGATGCATATCTTTGCGAGGTCTGTAGCATCCCCAAGCAACGTTTGAACATGTTAAATGAGGGTGTGAGAGTGAGAAAAGCAGCCACGTAGCCAACCTACTGAGACTTAATACAGTGTTAATGAAGCACTATCTTGAAAGTCAAAGTGAATGCGCCTCAAATTTTGTTAAAACCCTTATCTCTGGGATTAGGGGATATCCCAAAAATTCTAAAAATTGTCTCAATGTGAGACTCTAATAGCCTTTGATAGTGCCAAAGGTGTTTTGACAAATGCAAAGGCTTCATTGGCGTGCTAGTAAGTTGATAGGTTACTTTAGTTATAAAAAGCACTCAAGTTTGTAAAACTTCTTGGATTTGCTTTATTGCGGTGCAGCAATTTTTCATTAACTTTCATCATGTCATGACCAACGATCACTCGGCACTCACATATTTTAAGTAAAGTGTTGTTGAAAGGTCGGAAATGAAAGTATGACACGATTTTAAAAACAGTCTCATCCACTGAATACAAGAATACATCCAGCAACGCTTTTCCCGTCAACCAGCCAGTGGTAGCCATGTTAGACATTTTCAAAGACTAGCATGGTTCCCTTAGCACGGAGTACAAGTATCATGTGCTTTCAAACAGTTAAGCCCGAAATTTCCAACAACTGTTAAAATTGAACAATTCTCCAGAATTCAGTCAGTCTACAATTTATCATAACTTCCGTAGCTGTCGAAGAATTAAACTCTTCTCACCTGGCAAATTGCAACTGATCAGTGATCGTTAATAGTAATTGAAAATTGAAATAAGAACTGCATGAAAACTCAGTTGAAATTAGCTCCGTGGCTGTTGAGATGCACGTGAGAAAGGAGAAACTCTTGGTGAGCAATATTGTCTCATGTCTTGATAGCATATGGAGTATGAACGATTCAGGGCAAAATTAAAATTTTACTTAACAAAACTATGACAGTAGATATTTTGCAGAATGTACTCAAAAATTGTGTTATTGAACCGTTAGCTCAACAGCTTGAAGTACAATATGTATGTATCTATCGCATTTAATTGCATCTATGACAATTCATTTGCATGACTCATAACATAATATTTGCATGGCATGTACATGCATTTGCATCTAATGTTATTCAATTATCAATATCAGCGGTTATTGGAATTTTGCAGTGACATTCGATTGTAACAAAAGTAATCACTATAAATGTTTGTATATATGGGTAGTGGGTACTTGTAAAAGCCCTGTTATAGCTTAATTTTGTCCATAATTCTATCCATGTGCATGTGCCAAGTTTGTCTATTAGCGTGACTGTGAACAAGTGAATCATTAGAAACGATGAAAAAAAATGTTCAATGAAAACGAGATAAAATGATTTTATATGATTTCAGCCACATTCAATGATCGTGTCGGGGAACTTCAGAGGCTTCAAAAGATAAAGCCAACCCCAAGATCCAACCGATCGTTTTCACGCGCTTCCTTGGCAACCCTAAGAGAGCACAGGTTCTCACGTTCTGCTCTCTTCATCAACTTGCCTCCGGTTAACCACACATCCAGCGGCTTGAGCGGAAACAATCTTAATACCCTCGTGGTAAGTTCAGCCTTTTATATTTTTCGCTGAGATTCAGCATTATTGCCTTAGGGTAAGTTTTCATAACAACTTTAAATTGATGATAATAAATAAAATATAATATTGGTCATCTTGATTTCCTTGTAATCGTAACTTTGTCGATGCCAAGCGTAAGGCTGTCTGTCGAAATTTTATCATTTTAGTTTTGTTGATATTACTCTCAAAGTCTTAGAAATTTATGTAAAATGATGGATTCCTTTCATCTTTCCCTGGTCTGTCAAAAATCATCTGAATAACTACTGAGCCCAGATGTTATAATATGAAAACAAGCATTCGTTTGTATTTGACTTTAGTACTTGATCATGCAGCCATGATGGATATAGATATGATGACTTTTTCTTTAATTTTCCGCTCATTAAAAAATACTAGTCTTTAATGAAAACTAATGACCGGATAATGCAATAGCCATTAGGTTTCCCACGGCACTTTATTTATTTTTTTCCATCTTAGCAAAATCTATTCGACTTTTTGTTAAATCAACACCGAAAATCACAAATAAATGTGAACATAATATAAGCACAAACATAATATCATCTGCATCGATAAGAAAGACTTCTCTGTTCTAACTCAGTAAGCTAGAGCAAGTCATCAAGTAATTAATAGAGTAAATCCTGCATGCATTATTCCTGACTGAAGTATATCCGGTGAAGCCCGAACAATATACAATTACAAATAGACAATATGCATTATGCATGATACAGACTGCCATACACTTGTCTTTGTCGTTTTTCATATTATCATGAAAGCTTTTGGGCGAATTGCACTAAATTAGAACATAGCGCCTCTTTGTATTCCTGATAAAACCCGTGCAAGCACAATTTAACAAATTATGACAAAAGTACGACAGACTGACTGACGCAAGGCTGACACACTTACATTTTTAAAAGAATTTAGAATGCAAGTACTTATCACTTTTGGTAAGCTTTCTTTTTCCGAAGCCTTCCAATCTTTTATCAAATATTATAGGAAGAAGGTACAGAACAGGAAACAGAAACTGGGAACGGAACAATTTCAAACAATAAGAAATATGTTCCGATCGTCGTAAGTTTGAGCGCTGATAAATATTCCGTTGATTATTTTTTTTCATCTGTGAGATTTCTGGTACATTCCCACTGTTAAGGCTCTAAGGCGGATCTTAGAGGGATGATTGGAATGAATATAATTATCCGTCTAGATAATGAATCATAAAATTCTGTCATGTTAATCAACAAATCAATTTCGTGTTCGTGATATGTCTGTGATAAATTCTTGTGAGAAGCTCAATAATGCAAGGCAGTTGATCTAAATTTCGTTGTTGCTGCTTCAGCATTTCCAATATATTAAACTATGTATACATATTTCACGTGTATACTACTATACACATGTATGTAATATATGTTGTATATTATATTTATAATAATTAACACAATTTTAGATAAGTGTTGCCTCCTCCGTTCATAACAAATGATATAACATTATATATTACATTATTTCAAGATACATTCATATGTAGTATTATCTAGTCGCCCAAATTATCGATAATTATATATTTTCACTTGCAACTATTCCTCTGCTTAACTAAGCCAGAAAGCACTACGGACACAGTTAGAATCCACGTCAGAGTTCAGTTTCCAACGAAGCCTAGTATATTATAATCGTTCGCTTCGATTTTTTAAAGCTGCCTGTCACTTCGTTGAAGTCTCAGTATATTCTTGGAGACTGTCTGAACCAAGCTGGTTGACTGCTTTCGTAACTTAGTTTAAGTGTCGTGTCCTTTTAATTTCAGTCAACCCAATAAAGTAAATTTTAAACTGCGATATCTTATGAAATAGAAACGCATCTAGATTTGTAAAGTTCATATCCTGGCCTCTGCCTGTAAACGCCTTCGCCAACTGTTCACTGCAATTTTTACCTTTTTTATCCCTTAAAAAAGGAAACAAATGTACATTACAATGTATCAAAATATGCACATTGATATGGTATAGTAAAATAACTTGAATTAAGTTGTTAATATGCCTAACAACAGTCTAGTTATACTTGAATATGTTATCTAGCAACTGTATCAAAACATGACTATAGTGTACATTGTATAACTTCTCCTATTAAGCTATTATAATTTACATCCATGGCTTCTAAAATCCTCCGCTGCGATTTTAGTCTGGCTTCGAAGTATAAGTACTACAAGTTATTTGATTGATGTTAAGGTCCCGGTTGCCACTATCACAATAGAAATCTGCATGAAAAATCTTGAAACTGCTGTCTTGGTTTTTAAGTTTCCTTCATTGGACTTTCTCTATATCGACGCACGTTACATCAACTATCAGAGAGCCCGTCCTTCGGACGCTTAAAATATAGACGTTTCTCGATCTATGGACTGAATATTGATTGTCACCGCACGTGCACTCGTCAAATTTCCTTTATGACATCTGGGGCCAATCAACAAAAATTAAGAAACTCTTATGACTCAGCTTAGTTTGATTGTTATATCCATGCCATTACGAGTGCTGCTTTACACGTTTTATTAGATAAGTTCTCCTCTGTATACGTATCCCATTTATATTGGGTGATTTTGTCACTGTAATTAGTGTTACCAATTATAATCATAGCACTGGATTACTCACGATTCTTTTATAATTAATCCGCATAAGATAATTCGTGTGAGATTAGCGCTAAAACCGTGTTCTTAACGTGAATAAAACCCTCGTAGTTCGATGGTCAGTATAATATCTAATTGCGAGTATGCGTTATCTGGCAGATATTTAGACAAACTAATTGCGAGGCGCGTGCTGCATACGACCTACACACGCCTTCCCTGATCACCATTATACCATACCTTTTATAATCGCTACATATTATCGCGTCGACTCATAACTTATTAGGCCTCATTAGCTGACGTAGGATCAAAAACAAGGCAGCACGTTGGTCGATGCAAGCTGTACATTGCTTTATACAGTGGATAGAGATCAAATTTATAAACGCTTTGCACATTACATGTGAGATCTATATCCAAGTACGTACGCTTTTGGTCGTAGATCGGGGCGTGTTTGCAAACATTTGAGCGTCGGTATAACTCAATATACATTGCTCTAACGAGATTAACGGGTAAGCTGGGCTGGAATAAATAGAAAGAAATACGATTTTGTGTAACACAATCTTTACAACACGGCCTCTTGAGTCTTGAACTCACTGGGCCCCATATATAACTATTTACTTACATATAAGAGCTCGTACTAGACGTACACTGTAGTTAGGGCCTTATGAATATTTTCTGGGAATTAGTTTGCCACAAGCATTTCTGTGCAGGAAATAGGAATGTGTTGTCCACAGCTCCAGGAACCACCCCAAAGAGTTGTAGATCTGATGGGTCATGGGCACAACAAACTTTTAAAATTTATTTCTGCCATTACTATCGGAGTTGTTCGTAGGCTAGGCGCCTGGAGAAAATATACTCTAGCTAGTTATGCCCATCAGATCTACCTTTAAAGGGGGGGGGGGGGGGGGGGGGGGGGGGGGGGGGGGGGGGGGTGTCACGTCCGTCTATGTCCGCTTGTCTCATAGAATCCAAAAAGGACAGGACATAGGCGGACATAGGCGGACATAGACGGACATAGGCGGACATAGGCGGACATAGGCGGACATAGACGGACATAGGACGGACATTAATGGACACCTAAATTGCTAAATAAAATGTTCAATTTTTGCTGTTATAGGGGGATCATGTTTTTTGTCCGTTCGGTACCCTATATTTTCAAAACGGACAAAAAATAGAGCGGACAAAAACGGACAAAAATGGACAAAAACGGACAAAAACGGACAAAAATGGAAATAACATTTAGATGCTTCCTCCTCCTACTCTTCCTCCTCCTCCCCCTGGGTCTTCCTGATCTTCCTCAGTCCTCTTCCTCCTCCCCTCCTCAGTCCTCCTCCTTCTCCTCCCCAGTCCTCATCCTCCTCCTGAGTCCTCCTCCTGGGTCCTCCTACTGGGTCCTCCTCCTCCTCTTCATCCTCCTCCTCTTCCTCCTCAGTCCTCAGTTCTCCTCAGTCCTCCTCCTCATCCTCCTCCTCAGTCCTCCATCCTCCTCCTCAGTCCTCCCCCAGTCCCCCTCCTCCTCCTCCTATTCAGTCCTCCTCCTCCTCCTCCTCCTCCTATTCAGTCCTCCTCCTCCTCCTCCTCCTTCTCAGTCCTCCATCCTCCTCCTCAGTCCTCCCCCAGTCCCCCTCCTCCTCCTCCTATTCAGTCCTCCTGAGTCCTCCTCCCTCCTGAGTCCTCCTCCTCCTCCTCCTCCTCTTCCCTTTCAGTCATCCTCCTCAGCCATCCTCCTCAGTCCTCCTCAGTCCTCCTCCTCAGTCCTCCTCCTCCTGGGTCCTCCTCCTCCTCTTCATCCTCCTCCTCTTCCTCCTTGGTCCTCAGTCCTCCTCCTCCTGGGTCCTCCTCCTCATCCTTCTCATCAGTCCTCCTCCTCCCCAGTCCTCTCCCAGTCCCCCTCCTTCTCCTCCTCCTATTCAGTCCTCCTCCTCCTCCTCCTCCTCAATTCTCCTCAGTCCTCCTTCTCATTTCTCCTAAGTCCTCCTCCTGAGTCCTCCTCCTGAGTCCTCCTCCTCTTCCTTCTGAGTCCTCCTCCTGAGTCCTCCTCCTCCTCCCTCTCAGTCATCCTCCTCAGTCATCCTCCTCAGCCATCCTCCCCAGCCATCCTCCTCAGTACTCCTCAGTCCTCCTCCTTCTCAGTCATCGTCAGTCCTCCTCCTCAGTCCTCCTCAGTCCTCCTCCTCCTCCTGGGTCCTCCTCCTCCTCCTCCTCCTGGGTCCTCCTGGGTCTTCCTGATCCTCCCCAGTCCTCTTCCTCCTACCCTCCTCAGTCCTCCTCCTACTCCTCCTCCTCGTCCTCAGTCCTCCTCAATCCTCATCAGTCCTCAACAGTTCTCCTCCTCCCCAGTCCTCCTCCTCCTCCTGGGTCCTCCTCCTCCTGGGTCCTCCTCCTCCTGGGTCCTCGTTCTCCTCCTCAGTCCTTCTCCTCCTCCTCCTCAGTCCTCTTCCTCCTCTTCCTCCTCCTCCTCCCTCTCAGTCATCCTCCTCAGCCATCCTCCTCAGCCATCCTCCTCAGTCCTCCTCCTTCTCAGTCCTCCAAAGTCCTCCTCCTGAGTCCTCCTCCTCTTCAGTCATCCTCCTCAGTTCTCCTCCTCCTCCTCCTAGGTCCTCCTTCTGGGTCTTCCTCCTCCTGGGTCTTCCTGATCCTTCACCTCCCTCTCAGTCATGCTCCTCAGTCATCCTCCTCAGTCATCCTCCTCAGCCATCCTCCTCAGCCATCCTTCTCAGCCATCCTCCTCAGTACTCTTCAGTACTCTCAGTACCCTTCAGTCCTCAAAATGTTTGTCCGCTTATGTCCACCAATGTCCGCTAATGTCCACCAATGTCCATCCAAGTCCGCCAATGTCCGTCCGGGTCCGCCAATGTCCGTCCGAGTCCGCCAATGTCCGTCCGAGTCCGCCAATGTCCGTCCGAGTCCGCCAATGTCCGTCCGTGTCCGCCAATGTCCCAAAAAACACGTCCGTTGTCTCATAGAATCCAAAAAGGACAGGACATAGGCGGACATAGACGGACATACGCGTGTTTAGCGTCATAGTGTTATTCAGTTATTCAGTTATACTATTTTATGTGGCTATGTTCGATGAACTATGAAAGTTTGTATAGCTTGTGACCTCAAATTCAGTTGAAGCTGTAGCTCGGCAACTATTCTTAAAGTTCTTTAAACAACAACATAATCTCATCTTATTCAATGACAATGGACTAATTGTTCACATCACGAACGAACAACGAACAATGGACATGTTTAACATGCATGCTGGTATTCTCAGCAAGTACAGTGTCCCAATATGTATCCCATCACAACGTTGAGATCATGCATTTAGAACTTTTCTTTTACAGAATGGTGACCTGATGATAGATACACAGGTAGGCGCGCTTCGAACATTTTAGACGTGTTACAGTAAAATGTGCAAGTGATTCTAGAGTGACCTAGCTATTTTAAAAACCTGCTATATAATTTGCGCCAAATGTACTGTTGGATTGTAAATTGCATGAGATCCCGTGGTTTTCAAGTGGTTTGACTAAATATTAAAATTATGATAATATATTAATTTGATCTGCTCCTGATGACCGTCTACTTTCGACGTTAGTGGAACAGTTAACCACCTCCATTCTTCCGGGCCAGACAATCCAAAGCTAATTACCCAAATTAGCTCGATTGACCATCTTCTGTTCATTTTCAACCGATCCTCATATCTTTATTTATAGATTATGCCTTTAAAATGCTCCTTACAATCTACATTATGCAGAAAATGTTTGTAAATTGTGAAGCATTTCATCAATGTATTATCACATATATTTTTCAGGAGGGTGAGAACGATCTACCTCAATCATTCATTCACGACATTTCAAACTCCAACACGGTACGTCACTCAAGTATTTTACTTAAAGCTTTCCCGACTACTTCACCATTTATCCCCTCAAAGCATTAAATTTGCTGCATCACGACTTTGCATCCTTCGCTTTACTGTGATCAAGCAGGGGCTTTCACTTAATACTTCAGATGTTCATGCCATGACAGTTCATGGTAATTTACTGAGATGCCATTACAAATTAGGTGGAGTTTTGTCAAGTTTTATAAAGTTGCTTGCACATTTGTTAACCTAATAAATGCAATGCCAATTATAACTAACTGTCGAAAAGATAATTGAGCTATAAACAAAACTAAGGGATGATGTCGTCACTTCGAACACCAAAATTCTAATCATAGAATTTCCAGGAAACTGAAAATACGTGCACCAGAAATACAACCATCATTACAGTTCTAGTTAGTATCATTCGCACATAATATTGTGATCCCAATGTGGCCTCACGGTCTGCCCATCTTGTACCATGATCTGATGCACACTACAAACACACAACCTTGTCATCTCAACTTACTCTGTCAGCACATGTTAATCATGTTGTGATGTTTGTATCTTGTATTATAAAATTGTGGACTGTGTTCTCAACTGATGATGTTATATTCTGTAATCAGCGCCAGATGAAATGTATGCACTTATAATGTGCATAATTCCAGAGAAATGAGATGTAGTGTTTTGACTCAACAACAGCTCGGTTTGGTAAAGCGTTTTTGTTATTGTAATATTTGACAATATTTTCATACGAAAAATGCTTCAAATATGTTAAAATAAGCGGATTAATGGCTTTGCTGCTCGGCAGTTCTAATTTTAAGTTGTTAGTCGTCGTACACAATCTGCTCCGTCCTTTGAACCAATAGTTTCACAAAATCTGAACGGCGAGGTAGCCTGTGATTAGTCACCCACGCACGTTATAACTATAAGATCTTGGCATTGCTCATACTCTCATAGATATGTGAATTGCGTGACGACATAATGTGTAGCTGCAGGAGCCTTCTTTTACTTGTCAAACAATCTCAATATATAATAGCGTCTAGGGACATGTCTTTGATGATTCAATATGTACGAGATTAATTTTGAATGTTAATCGATCTCGAGTATTCAACAAAAGAATAAAGGATCCTGGAGCGAGGAAATAATTAGTCGCTATAAGGGGAAGTTTCAGACACAGCTAAAATGTTAGTTAAATAGTTCTGCGAGTTTCGATAATTCGATATGGATCTGACACGGTTCTTTGCAGGAGGCGGAGCAAGTGGTCAGTAAAATATCCCGATAATCCAACTTAGTCTTGAACAGTGGACTTTTCTTTTACGCATATAATAAATATAATATAATGTTATAATATACAGCTATAATATACTGCTACAGTATGTATTGATGTTAGAATATGCGGTGGCTATTATTATACTCCAGATTGCAGCAATATTCGCTGTTCAGTGTCAGGTCTGTAAGCTTATAAAATTATAGGTATAGCGTCAACAATTACTGCAACCAATAGCGTCGTAGGACTAAATAATTTGATGTTGGAAGTTTTGCGGAAACCGAGGTCTCGTGTTAACCGGAAGACCTGTAAAATTTAACGTCCTAAATTATGCAAAATTGGGCCTATAATCGTCAAAATGACCTCGTGTTAGCTTTCGTAATTGAGCTGGATTCCTGACTCAGGTGTACATGAGGTCTTCCTCTATACAGAACTCGGACAACTTTTATCTATTTCCTCTATACAGGGCTTGTAAATATCACAAAAAACTCTGTTTCTAAATTTTTAGAATTTCACAGTTAAAAAGGAACACCGATGGAGAAAGCTTTGCCCGTATTGCGTGTATGTATGGGTGTACGGGAGGAGAAATGTGCCAGCACAATATTCAAGAAATTCTAGTTGAAGAAGGCGATGATATTAGCATGACATCAAGTGACAAGGAGTCATTGAAGAGTCTCTCAGCGGTGAGTTACAAATTTAGAGAAAGTTAAGTTCCTACCAAGTGTCCATGACAAACTAGCCATGATAGTAAAGTTGGAGAATAGTTAACATTAAGAATAAGGCTTCTTCTGTTAACGGAAGATCTTAAAGTCTGTGGTGGATTAATTATGTAATCCTTTCGGAGCTCTTTTAGAAATATCTCTAAAGGACCGGATCAATTAGCGAAAGTTAATCATAGTTTTATTTTCGTGACCAATATATTAGCAGCATCGCAATCTTCATTATACAATGAATGAATTATAATTAATTGAGGTCTTCACGGAACGCAGAGAACTGCTCTTGGGCAATAAAACATACGCTTCGTCAGTGATTCATTAATCATAATATTGACCTTATCGAATTTGATCCGCGTTCACGTGTTGCAAAATGCAAATGTATTCCAGGATTTGATGATTGATCGATGCAAACCTTCTGACCAAGACAAAAAGAATCTCCAGATTATTCAAACTCGATGGGTGTCTGCTGTTGCTAAAGCTCGTATAAAGAAAGAAAATCTCCGCGAGAAGGAGCGCGAGAAGATAAAGCGGGGAATGTCTGTTAGGCCTGTATGGTATTAAATATGAAACATGTTCAGTGTTGATTAAGTGTCCGTAAATCGTAGTTCTTGTAGATCAATGAGTAAAATTTATGTGGTCTTCCTTAACTCTGAAGTCAAAATAAATAATTCTTTCTTGACCTTGTACTCTGTTGTGTCCTTACTTTCTGTTATTTTTTATGTATAAGTTTAACAGCATAATATTATGCAAAATATGTATTAGTGTTTTTTTCTGTGGCAATGTATTGCACCAGGAAATCATCTCATACAATCTATGTTATATCAATTGAGGAGGCAGCTTTCTCGAACTAGGGCCAAGGGTTAATTTTAATCTTCAAAAGCTGATACTCGGCAAACTGTTGATTTTGATAAAACGAAAAGCACCACACGAGTTCCCATTCCCTCTATCAGGGATAATGGCAAATCAAAAATCATCTTCAACCTTTCAACCTCACCTTGCCGAAGACCCCTGGCTACTCAATTGAATATGAACATTGAGTGACTGAGTAGTACTACCGCATTTCAATTTTCATGGTATCACACTCCTTTTTTAGCCCTGAAAATTTACAGTTGAACCTTAATCAAGTTCTTATAAAATATCAATCATCAGGCTGCAAGTACACAAAATTCTTTGGCTCGGTTTAAATGAGGATGGTTATGAGATCGGCATTGTTTAGACCGTATAATGTAATATCGTCTCTAGTTGAGACGTCAGGCAGCTCCTGGCACGTGAGCACCTACACCGTACTGCTCTCATGTAACTGTGGCGGTCTGTCAGGCTCGAATAGTGGGAGACAAGCTTTTTCTTCCGCTCGAGTATGAGAAAATTTGTCTGTCTGTCTGTTAGATTGACAATGCAATACAACTGAATTTCTAACTCTCAATACTGGATCGTACCTGGTCAATTGCAATAGAAATAACAATATGTCTTTGTGAATGACCAATTGTTTGACTGGACGATGTTTACTACTTTCAATTATTATTCGTGTTCATTATTGGTTATCTGCACACAATCTGGCCACATTCTACAGAATTCTGCTCCTTCCGGAAATTTCCTTATAGAATAAACCATGATCCTGAACACCGCATTATATATTCACACATTTTTTACAGAATTCTGCTTCTTTCGGAAATTTCCTTATGGAAAAGACCGTCTTGAACAGCGCATTATAATGCATTAAATATTCACACATTTTTAATCTATCCCTATTTATACCCTTTCTTAAATCAAGATCCGCAACTTGCTTGTCATGACCGCAACTGTTTAATGATTTCTGTTTAAATTCCTGAAAAGGTCTCGGGCCGTTTTGCATGCCGTTGCCAGGAATTAATATGCTTTAAATATACTTTCTATATGTATGCAATAATGAATTAATATGCACAGTGCAATCGATTCGATATTGCATGTCAGTAAGAATCTGCCATATTTTCTGACGAACTTTCAATGTAAGTTTCAGTCAACAAAACGTAGTTTTGTTAAACAGTTTTCTGTAACAAATCGGAAGATAGAAGAATAATAATAATTAAATGCTCAGGAACTGTACTTCAGGTGAAGACTGAAGATCCACTATTTGTGGGGTTAAAATAGTATGAGAGTGATAATTACCAGTGGGACGTAGTAAATTTTCTATCGCTCTAGCTCTAGGTTCTGGGATGACCAGTATGTTTAACGAGCAGCTAGATCTATCGGCTGCCGCTGTTTCTTTAGTCTATAAGTCTATGCTTTCGGGTTGTCCTACAAAACTCGGAAAATAACACTGTAAAATATAAAACCAGACGCCCTATAACTAACAGTGCAGTAAGTGCTAAAATGTTTCTTCGCTAACATATACCGTCATCACGTTTCTACGATAGTTCTTCGGCCTTTTTTACAAAGCAATTAAAACTCTCAAGGCAGCTTTAGGAAGCTATAATCTATTACAGTGTAAGACTGTAAGAGTGTACATTCTAAATCCAAGGTTCTTAATATGATTATTGTACGGATCCTACATCAACATGACGTTCATTTGTCATTTTATGCTTTCCTTCCGCACGACAGTGTAGATTCATCCCATGTGTTTGTTCCCAATTCCCATGTATGGCTTTGTGGAACCTCTTTACGTTTAAAGATGTTGTTAGCGGCTGTGTTTAACTTTGTCACAATTCCTGGCTTAGCTACACACTAAACGTCATAATCCCTGACAAATAGAGTGGAAAACCAGCAATTAGCCTCAAATAGATTTTAGTATGACGCAAATCGCATGTACACGTTGGCTGGCATGGTTAAGTCCTCTAACCTGTAAACTGAAGCTCCAAAAGATTCAACGACCATATATCGATTTATCATATTTTGGTAGCTTGAATCCAATTATTTTTTTAGCAGTTCGCTCTTCAATTATCATTCTTACATATAAATTGTAAACATTATCATTCTCATATTATGCCATGTCAAAATATCCGCTATTATGATGATTTAAGAAAGCATACGTACGGTAAATTGTCCGCAACTCGCAACCCACGTGATTCTTAGGTTCTACAGAAGCAACCTAAAAAGTTCGCCCACTAATTTGATATTACTTTTAAAGATCTCGAATAGTTATTGATCTACGAAACTTCTGTGTCATCGGCTATCTTCCAGGATTATGAATTGGCAGATCACTCGGCACTTTATAGATCAACAAAAGAGTGTGTCACTTTTCACGTCAATAAAGGATTGATCTAGAATCCAGGCCACCCCGAAGATTAATAATTTCAAATGGTTCCTCTAAAAGTCATTTTGATCATGAAATGAAATGATCATTGATCAGCCATGATTTATTTAATTGATTCTAATGAAGTTATTGATATCATTAATCATTTAGAGGGAGAGTAATGACGATCTCTGTAAAAATGTAAGTGGAAATGTCTACTGTCATTGATATTTGATTAATCGGTTGATTTATGTACTTAGTGAGTTAATGGATTCTGGGGTATTTGATCTAATTCTATATGATCACGATTGGGTCTATGTATTCTATCGGGTTGGATTTACAGGGTTGATGACGTATAAATCGCTCTTATTCGTATTTTCTTCGGGAAAACTCACTTTTTAAACGTTATTATGTTTTATTTTCGCTGATCAAAAAGCGGCCGGGAGGTTTCCCATATCTGTTGCTCATCATCAGCATCTGACTCGCCTGACTAACGCACTAAGATCAACGTTGTTTGATGGATAGAGGTTAATTTTGCGTTTTTTTTCTCTTTGATTTGTCAAAATATGTCGATTCCCAAGATGCACCCTCACAGAGAATCACTCAAAGTGTTCATGATTGTTCAAATTTGGTTGACATGGATGGTTGCAGAATGTCTCCCAAATTCAAATTTAACTGTTTTTTTCATGACTGGCTGTTGATATATTGCTTTGCAATTATATTGGCGCAACAAATTAACAGGAAGAAGAGAAACGGTCGGAATGATGCAACATAAAATATCACGAAAGTTGACATTTCTTTATAGGCCAGGTTGAAATGACAGAAACTATTGCTGGGGTCATGCTGATCCCCGACACATAATCAGCTATTTTTGATGACATCATTAAATAACTTATACCAAGGATAGCTGTTCAACAAGATCTGCTCTCTTAAACTTTGTTGAAATACAATCAGTTTTAAAATTATATATGTAGTGTTTTGGTATTTGCTTGGAAGTGTCAGTAGTGTACTCTACCTTCCTCACAGGAGGACTCTAACAAGATAGCCTGTAGCGTTGTCTTGATAAAACCATGCAAGTCCATACAGGTATTATGCTCGCTGAATGTCCTTGTTTTACTACTCGGCCTTCATGTGCAATTTACCGTGTGTAGGAACCTTATATCAGCATTATAACAGAACTCTAATAATAGCATGTTATACATGCCTGATTCCATTGAAAAAATTAAGATTTTACTAATAAAGGCTGGCCTTATTTTTTGTTGATCGTCAACGTAAAATGTGTTTGCAGTGTGTCTTAAATAAATCTCGTAATTACTTTACCCGTTAAGTGTGGTTTGCATGGAAATAAAGAGGCAAATTTTGGTATATCTGATTTGTTTTTCATCTAAAAGAGTATTATATCAGATCATAGTAAAATGATGGGCCAAACAATAATCTTGTAGCTGGTGTAGTCAAGCGAAAACTTGCACAAGATATTTTCGTGCCTTTTCCGGCCTAAGGAATCTCCAGTTCGGAAAACCTTGACTGTTGAGTGTTACATGTCTTTGTTCAAGCCGACACTGTATTCAATTATTTAATTATGGGCTTCCTGTTATCATTATGGATTTGTAAAGGCATATAACATTCAACACAAATGTTCATACTTAATGTTCCATAGTTCTGTAACAAACATCCTATAAATAGCGCGACAAATCCCACCATACTCACGCTGGCTGAATAACAAGATGCATTCGGTTTTGCGGCTGCTTTGAATATTTCGCAACATATAGGATTATCTATATCGGTCCCTTGTGAACTCTATAAAGATGCTTTGACGTTGCAGATGAAGAACTTGCAAATTTGGTGGTCAAATTGAAATACCTGTATATTTTTATTAGCTTAAACAAAACAAATAACTAAATTCAAGACCAGATAATAGAGCTTTAAATAATAGCGAATACTAAACATTTACAAGATTATAAATCGCTGCTTGTTGCAACCGAATGTAGCCATAAAAGTGCAGCATTCTCAATTTCATACTCATAAATAATATTTACACTAGACATTAACATATAAATTCTTACCGGGTTTTTGTATTTTAACATTTTTATTGAAACATTAGAAAGCATTTAATATTTATGTCGCATATAATACTCTTAACTCGGAATGATCGACGGGAAACCAATTGCAATTATCAGCATATATAACATATTACATTAAATCAGCTCGTAGTCGTTCTATACTGAATGATCGTATCGGAAATTTCCTATCCTGATCATTTCATAGGATCTGACTAGAGGGTTCCACCACAATTTTATCATATTATATCTACGTCCTTACAAGGTCCCTTTGCATTTAGTGTCTCCTTTTTTGCCATCTGTATGAGTATCTGGTCCGTAAACCTTTTTGAGTTGATGAAAGCCCTGGCAGTCCTGTAAAACTTTCCCCTACTCTGACGGTGGCGGTACCGGTACCGGGGATATTGAGTTTTCTTCTGATTGAGTCGATACTCTGGCCTGCGGACGATATAGATGATTGGGTTGATTATTGGTTGAAGGTAGAACAGCAGCTTTGCCATGCAGGATATCATGGCGACTTTATCAGCGGTCAGCTGAACGCCTAGAGTGTTAGTAAGAAATACCGCTGGAATAGATACTGTGGTGATCATGTAGACCGTTACCAACAGGATCAGTTCATACCCAGCATTGTTGACATATCGTCGTCTTTCTTTTACCAAACCTGTGATCTTGATTTTTATCAGCTCCACGACAACCATGGCATTGATAACAAATATAACGAATCCTCCAATAATATGGAGTATGGGTAACGTCATTTTGTCTCCAAGATCTTCTGTTACGAACCCCCTTGTACCTCCGATGACGTAGCTAACGAAGCATTGCTTGTAAAGCAAGCTGAATCTGGCGTCCCAGAAGAAATTGGAAATCCCTACGAAGGACACCAAGAAAATGTACTTAGCACTCAAGGCGATGTAGATGTGCTTGCAGGTAATGTACGAACGGTACATCCGTGGGTACATGACAATCAGCACGCGTGTCGTACTGAGGATAAGGATGCTAATTGTTGAGCCCCACGGAAAGAGATGGAGGGCGGATGAGAAGAATCGACATAGCCACGGGTTCTGCAGAAAGAGCTGAGGTTTCAAGTAGGAGATAACAACCAACGGTTCCACCAGCAGAGCCGTACCACAGTCGTCTATTGCCAGCGAGAAGAGCTGAAGGTTACTGGGCGAGTTGTAGAGTTTGAACCTCATAAAGGTATTGATCACTAGGATGTTCATGATGAGGCCTACCACACAAAGCATGGTGAAAAGTCCCATACTAAGGACCTCTATTCTTGTATAAGTCATAATTTCTGAGGTGTTCGTTTTGGACCCCAGAACGATTGAGGACGACTCTCGATTTAGCCGTATGCCTCCGAAATCTGTCATCTAAAAGAGTGTATGAGTTGTTAAACGAAAACATTCTGAAAAGATCATACAACAGCTCTTTAAGTTGGTGAAATAAGATACTGGCAATGATAAGAAAGTATGCTAGAAATTCAAAGCTAGACGTAGTTACATGCACAGGTCAGTACAGGACGTTCGCGTACATAGCAATCAAATCATCACGCCCCCCATACAGTTCAACATGCCTTTGACTCTTCTAATCAATATCATTCTAGAGGACCTGATCCGCATCGATTTATATGATTCTGATTATAGGGGACCGGAGGTACTGATACTATACTTGGACAGTGGACACATGGTAGCAGATTGCTTATCTATGTACCAAGATCATACATTGTGACAAGTCTCCGGTGAGCGGTGGTTTGGTCATCTCCAAATCATTGCACACCCATGAAATGCATAATATGTTTTCGATCAGAGTAATCATGGTCGGTTAAACGTTATCGCGGTCTTCTTGATATCTGACGATGCAGTTATTGGATTGGATTTTCAGAGCCACCGACTTAGCGATGACAAGATCTCAAGCTTAGCGCCCGAAGGCGGTGGTCTGCACTGTCAGATAATCAAGTTTATACTGCTGATCGTGTTATCATGCCAACTAATATAAATACTGACTCTAAATTCAGAGCTGTAGATCCAGAAAAATTAGACCAATTATTAGATATAATTGACCGTTACATAGTATTTTGTTTTAAGCTTTATTTCTCTCCATGTATTTTATCATCATGAGAAGAACTGTTGATAACTAACTATAAGCGTTCTCACTCAAAATTAGTCGCTCAGCTGTGTTGAATATGTGTGAAGCATGGCCCAAATGATGTGTTCTTCGAGTGTGTATCTGGCCGGTGAAACCTCGAAAGAAAATGTTAAAAAATAAAAATAGACGCTAATAAATCAACACTTATTTTGTTCAGGAAGAAGCGGAAGAAAAGGCAGAAGATGATGCAGAAAGTGAAGAAGAAGAAAAGGAAGAGCCCTTAGATCTGTCTTGGCCAGACTCGTGTCGTGCCAGACTCTTTTACATCGTTCTTGCTCCAATCCTTTTCCCACTGGCATTTTCAACTCCAGATGTTAGGAGAGCTGTAAGTATCAATACTCTACGTTTGCATGTAAATTTTTTTAAAACAAAACTGTTTTTTGGTGGTACGTACTAATATATAAGATACGGCGGAAAATTCATAAGATACAAATTTGGGTGCACAATATATTATAAACATAACCAGGGGATCATCGAAAATTTACCAAATTGAATCGCATGAAAATATCACGTTACTTATGGCAAGTCGAATGAATTTTATTCTTGGATTGTGTCATTTCGATTCCCAAATTTAACTAAATTTCGAATGGTGATATTTTTTCAATTCACATGCCACAACTCACACGGTGACAGCACATTAAGATCTTGCTTGAACGTAAAGTTAATTTTGTCAACCCATGACATCATGACCATGATATACTAAAATAGATACGTGTAGCGTGAAAGAAATGAGACTCGCGATCGCCTAATTAAGTTTTGTGTCAATTTTTAGCCACACTAAACAGCCATATAACTCACTGTAAATGTCGCATTAAGAATATTTGTTGGTATCTAGCCCGATCGGAGTATGACGATTCTTGACTGTGTACACTGTACAATCTTGAATCTTGATGTACCCCAGAGATATGACATTTGACTCTCTGCACATCCCAGCTTTTGGCAGGCGGCCGATTAAAAGGAAATAGAAATTTGGGGAACGGAATAAAATGAATCGGAAAAATAAGATAATTTTTAAATTCGTATGTGACTAGCTTTCCTAGACAGAGAGAGAAAGAGAGAGAGAGAGAGAGAGAGAGAGAGAGAGAGAGAGAGAGAGAGAGAGAGAGAGAGAGAGAGAGAGAGAGAGAGAGAGAGAGAGAGAGAGAGAGAGAGAGAGAGAGAGAGAGAGAGAGAGAGAGAGAGAGAGAGAGAGAGAGAGAGAGAGAGAGAGAGAGAGAGAGAGAGAGAGAGAGAGAGAGAGAGAGAGAGAGAGAGAGAGAGAGAGAGAGAGAGAGAGAGAGAGAGAGAGAGAGAGAGAGAGAGGGAGAGAGAGAGAGAGAGAGAGAGAGAGAGAGAGAGAGAGAGAGAGAGAGAGAGAGAAAGCTCTCCTTAATAATTTTAAATAACTTGCTATCTTCACAACCCTGGTGTCGTGAGCCAGACTTTTTTTAAACTGCTAAAAATACATGTCAACAAGTTGGTGAAACACTTATATAACCTTTATCGGTAAACTAAATGGTAAACGGAGTGGGTTAGACTTAAAGCATTTCTCTTAGACCAGATAATTTAAAGCTTCTTGTAGTATTCGTTAGTGTTATGAAGCTACCAGCTATTTATTTGGTCTAAAAACCTAAAAAACATTGCAGTGACCTTATACCAGACATCGCATGGCAAGGGTTTCCCAAAAAAACCAAATTTGTCATTAAACAACTTTCTGCTTTGCAAGTCATGTGCTGCGATGCTATCAACATTTTGTTAAAAATTCCAGGGTTTAACTTTATCAGAAACCCTTTCATCCGAAACACCAATTTTTCTTTAAGAGCAGGGACAACATATGTAACTGGTTAGATAGGATTATCCATTGCATTATAATCTGAAATAAACTCTAGCTGCATAAAGATGATGTGGTAGCCATGTTATCAGGAGGGCTCGGTAACCAAAATCCTAATTAACTAGCAAAGATAAAGATAACAATTATTATTATTATAACAATTATTATATCAGCTTATAGATACATGTTGACCTTTAATAAATATTTTTGTAAAAACCGCAATGTACAGTAGTTGATCCTAAGTTCAACCTTGACATAAGAGAAAGAAAAGATTTCATCAAGCTTGGCTATTGGTTAAAAACCAAAACGTACACTGCACATGGGCTAAATAAAATAATGATTATTATAATGTTTAGTGTCAATTTGTTTTAGACATCAGTCGGGCGAGGCCAAGAGAAACCTTTGTCTTGACTTTCTTAAGCCAAAAATCTTGAAGGAAAGCAAATTTGATTAGAAAAACCACCAGATAGTTCACTGAGTCCACATTCTTGCCAATAATATGTCCCGCATCAAGAAGACGCCACCAAAATAATCAAATTAATCTGAGTTTTCTCTCAGCAGTGGTTAAACAACTTTATAATAATATGGAGATCATTTAGCCACTGACCTAATATCACGAGCTCTAGCGACTCTCTAATATCTTTTACCTGAGCTGTAAGATTACTGATATTATATGATGAAAATGTCTGACAGTTTTTGAAGGAAATCGATCGAAAGTTAACCACCAAGACCGGTGTGGGTATAATTACGAGTTATAAGTAAAATGCATGACGGGGCTGTCAGCGCTCAGGGTATCAAGGTGACAGCTTGCTTGATGGCTGTCTGGCTGGAGACAATTGGGATTCAGGAACTACGGGATTGCTTTTTTGGTAGAAGATGGAGTCAGAGATTAATATTATATTAGATTCCCCTCGCAATCGATGTATGATGCCGGCTCTCGTGTAATGTTATCCTGTGAAATTTATAAGGATAATTACCATTATTCGGTCTGGTATTCATCTTTCGTTCTAACAGTTGACAGTTAGTGATTGCAACCATGAACTTAATATGCCTTCCTAAACTATAAATAAATTAAAGTGAGTCAAGATAAGACAATTTTGACGTTAAATTGAAAATTCTATTTCCACACCGCTAAGCGAAGCCTCCGTGTGTGTAATGTGTACTCATAACCACTGGTGAATAGTATAGGCTTTCACATTGAAAAAGTTAAACTCCAGTTCAGGATGGAGGGGATTAGGACACCTCTAAATAAATATTATGCTTAAACCCTCTGTTACATTCTTGATAAATGTAATAGATTTGTAGTGCTGTAATTAGTTTAAAACTAACCACAGTTACAGTAGATATAGTAATAGCAAAACAGATAAAATGTCTTCACTCTTCAACAGAACATTGTTCCTAGATACTTCATTCTAATATATCGTGTAGGTACATAGTGCTCCAGATCGGCAGCGAAACAATAAGCGTGTGAGAATGTATGTGTGTGTTTGATTGTGTTATGACACAGGAAATAGGATTCCTGACTTCTCTCCTATTCTTATCATGTGTATTGTCTGTCAAAATTGTGTAAATCAGCGCTAGGATATGAAAGACATGTTATTGGTGATAAATACTTTTCTTTAGTATCTCCTCTCTGTATAATTTCATCGAATTAGGTGTGAATTTTATTTCTACATTCCGTGAGCAGGAATTTCTCACCCAAGATTTAATTCGTTTTTGAAATTTCGCGAACCGCCTAGGCCTATCGACATTCGACAAATAGTGCAAAAATTGACGGTAAAACTTTTCTTGTCAACTAATGTTAGATTTTAGTACTGCCAAAATGAACGTATCCTCAATATTCTGCTTCTCAATTTGTAAGCAGTAAATTCTAATGTAGGAATCAACATTATCATAGAAGTGTTGAAAGTAAACCCTTTTAATGCTTTCAACACAGCTATAATCTAAACCAGGTATTATTTGGCAAGCTAATAACCTGATGTTTCAGAAATGGAAGATGTTCTTCCCAGTGACCTTCATCATGTCCATCCTGTGGATCGCAGTATTCTCCTACCTCATGGTTTGGTGGACTGAGACACTCGGCCGAACTCTGGGCTTGGGAGAGAAACCAGAGGTTTGTCTACACTTCAAATAGTTTGTTAAACTCTTACTTTTTGTGTGTGTTCTTTACACAGTGAACACACAAGTCAAGTTCAAGTCATTACCTTCGAAGGTCTAAATTAGATTAGTCTCATGAAACTTAGATTTGAAACAAAAGAAAACAGATGCGATCGTGACGTCACAATTCTTGTGACCTTATATAGTGCAGAGAGTACAGAACATTCTATAGTTATTACAATGTATGTATAGTGTATACATCAATATCCTTGGAACACTCCGACTCATTGTAATATTTCTATGGTTAGGTTCGCAAATCAAGTTCCCTGATTATTTTTTCCATCCTAACATGCACTTTTCAGGAACATACAATTATTTTTATTTTGAGAACATTTTCAGGCAGTAGTGTGTAGAGTAAGATCTAGTACCAGATTTTATTTTTTAAACTTTCTGTGACTTTCTGTGACTTTCTGTCACAGTCGATAAAATACATTGACAGCATTTTCATTTTTAAGTTTTTAAATTAATCAAAATTCTGGCTGGACTAAAATTCTTCTGCCTGCCAAGTTTCAGGACGATCCTATCACAAATTTGGGAGGAGAAAAATTGCCCTTTTTGGGAAATTGCGGTTGAAATTCAAGCTTGCAATAGAATTACGAATACCCGCTGACCTTTTTAAAGAACCATAACTTTGGCCAGGATCAATATTTTTTGATGAGATAAAGACCATCTGGCGGATCTTACTCTCTTTGAGAAAACATCATCATTAAAATAAATTCCATGATCGACTATATCGGGACCCCGATATGGAAATTTTTGTCACAATTCATTGACAATTTCGTATCACGTATTATCATTGTCAAATGATCTCAGGCATTTTCACCAAGCTGCCCGATTCATTATTACGTCTGAACAAAAGCTGATATATCAGTCAGGTAAATGGTTAGGGTTAGGAGATGGGGATATTTTGGTTTGAAACTGGGCTAATGTTGATAATATCAACATATTACGACAAAAGGTAGGTTCGGCTCAAATTTTTCGTCTCCAGTTCCGAAGGTATTTGATAGTCCATTGTTGGGTTTACGAATCTTTATTTTTCGCAATATAACAGAATGAATCTACAGTGACAACTCTACTTCGCAAGGAAGGCGCCATATGCCCGCAAAAACACGTTCCGGTCGGATGCATGCACTGCTGTTCGGCCTTGCCTTTAAAATTTCGCAGCTTTTAAAATTCGTTCGATGACATTTATTGTCGAAATAAGAATCTTTTGACATATTTTGACCCTCTAGTAGAAAGAAACGCTGAATGCCGCAAAAGAATAATACAATATCTAATTTTACGTAACGCGCGAAATACAAAATAGTTGAAAATTTCGAGCTGTTGGGCGCTTGGTATAACAGAGAGAGGCGAGTCTAGTACGTCAGAAGGATATGCGCGCTTCAGCCAATTACTACTAAATTGCTTGACATAATTCAATTATAATTATCAATTATTCTTCTGCGTATTTTCCTTTAGGCAAAAATTAGACACATACCTAGTAGCTAATTTATGAACTTTATCAATCGAAAAATTTGAGGCAAATACTGACATAAAGTTTTTTGATGCCCTAGAAAGCGAAGTTTTAGTTGATCCATTATTGATTATTATATCATGATCGAAGGATCGGGCAGGGCGTAGCGGGAGCGGGGCGGGGTCCCAACCATATCATTTATCATAATGTCTACAGACTATAGGGCGTGCACGCTCACAACAACTTTTAAACATCGTTGGTTGCATATTATCAATATTTTCACCTAATAATTTAAAATTGTCTCCTAATAATTTTCACCCTATAATTAAAGAAACGAAAATATTTGTTTCCAACAAAGCGAACCCACAACCTAAACTTAAAGCACAGTTTAGTTGTCATGCGTTAACTTTTAGCGACACTTCCCAAATAGTGCGATGATTAGACAGTTATGAATAAATGATCTCCCCGCTGTGCTTTAATTTAAACATGTCACTATCACCTTTCATCAACATTTGGAAATGCATTGAAACTTCGATCAATAATGAACGTTTCAATGCCCACGATTCGATGCCCATCACCCATGCTCCTTATGCATTGAATTGCTAGAATTGTGCATGGCTTCAGTGCATCGGTAGGAATTCCCGGGTTTCGCCTAAACTCCTAGCTTTTGTAAATAAAGTACTAGAGCTTTAGCCGAGGCTGAAGCAATCAGATGATACGATTTTGGGACATATTATATTATGTAAAGCTGTGTACGTTCGAATCATAGAGTCTACGGCCTGTGATCATATACATGATGATATACATACATACACCTATATAGTGTCCTAACTCCTAGTAGATATTAGATAACCGTAGATATTGCGGTACATCGTACAATTATCTATGGAGTACATCGTATCTAGCCGTTGAATATCTACATCACTTCATTACTATACGAATTCCTTGTTTACCCGCAATCTCGATGGTTTGTTACTCACCAAGTTTCTATAATCGCACCACAAAGTCAAACTACCGTTAACTTATTTTTCTCAGCCTAGTCGAACGGTTTTTTACTGTTCTCAGACCTTGAGACCTTTAGAGTTTAGACTCGCTAACTACGAAGCCGATAGGTCTGACCATTTGTAATCTTTCAGATAATGGGTCTAACGCTTATCGCTGCCGGAACCTCTGTTCCCGACTTGATTACGAGCGTCATAGTCGCTCGTAAGGGTCTGGGTGACATGGCTGTCTCCAGCTCTCTGGGAAGTAACCTTTTCGATATCTGTGTTGGGTAGGTTTTATATATATCAAAACTTGTATGTGTGTTGATGACTGAAACTACATTGTAACAAATCCTGCATTCTTTGACTTATATGTTATGTACAGTAAATATATAGTGTGTAATTAGTATGATACTGCATAATTTGGTTGAGTTAACGTGATATTTCTTGATTCTGATTAAGAGGATAATATTATATTTTATATCTTTATACAGCATCACAGAATGACAAATTGACACTATTATTTCTAACTATGAATCTTATTGCTGTGATTTTATTTTAAAGTATATAATGCATACATATAAATATATTACAAGTACTGCAGGTAGTAGTGATTTCTTGACAATCACCTAGCCAGCTTTATTAACCACAGCACAAATAACTAAACATAAATTTATCCTTTTTACTCAACTTGTTCCCTCCGCAGGCTGCCAATACCTTGGCTTGTTGCAATAGCCTGTAATAAAGAAATCAAGGTCGACGCGGACGGTATGTTCTGTTCGGTACTCATGCTCTTCGCTATGCTCATGGCCATCATCATTATCATCGCCATCTCGAAGTGGAAGATGACAAAGGTTTTGGGACTTTCAATGTTCTGTTCCTATTTCGTATACCTAGCGGTAGCATTATCCATGGGACTAGACGTTATACCATGTATCTTTGACAAATAAAACCTAAATAACCCTAATTCTTTGGGTTAAAATTTGGTCGACAACACCGATCTCTTGTATGATAGAAGAATAGAAATCCAGCAAGTTATAGGGGGCTGATAATTAAGATTTGCTTGCTGGTGAAAGACATTCCTTTCTCGGAGAAGGAGAGGTCAATTTTAATCAGATGTCCGTTGGGTCCTTACAATGTCAAACTTATCCATGGGAAACGATACCTAAGCAAATACCAATACGCTAATACTTTCATGATCATGGCTTCGATTTAATGGTACGTCATACCATGTGACCTGGTGGAAAGATAAAAATCCTTACATTGGCACATGTAACAGGAAGGGGGAGTGTTCATTTGATCTGGTCGTGATGATTGGTGTTGAAATTTTTTCGGCTAAAACTGATGTTAGATAATTAAGTAGAGAGACAGGCTTTTGAGACGTATACTCTAGGTAAGGTGATGCCGATACCTTGATTTTTCCGAGGAAACAGTTAAAAAGCCTATTTCTACTTATTTAAATCATTACAATCTATTCAACCTATTGTGGTCGCATATTCGTTTGGTAGCAAAAATCATTTTGTACAGTTGCTTCTTAAAATTATGATGGATAATATTATCTTAAAGTCATTTTACGCTAGTCTCTTTTACAAGATATATTCAAAAATTTGTCCAAGTTATGTAATTTACGTTTTTTAATCCAACCACTTTAGTTTAGTGGGATGTGTATTTATAACAAGAAATTTCTGTGAACAATTTGTGAAACATGAAGTAATTGTGTCTACTCTATTCAAGGCTAAACAGTGATGCTAATATTAATATTTTTTATCTCTAAAGAATTGTTAATATATTTCTGTAAAATAGTCATAGATGGCACATTAACCAGCATGAGATAGCGCCTGAAATGGCATTTTGTACTTATAGCTTTAACAGCTAAACAAGTTCCCATGGTTTGAACGAGATTAAATTATACAATATACATAGGATTAGGATGGATGAAAGATTCACAATTTGTCGATTCAGGACCCTGTAAAATTAGAGTATCATTTTGATTTAAGTATAAACTGAGTTGATAAATTAACATATTTTCCCTTGTTTTCATCTTGAAGACAATCCAAATGGTTATCTATCACGTGACTAACTTTAAGTTTAACACGTACTCCAGCTCTATATATTACGGTTCTGACGCACAATCCAAAATCATAACTCCAAGGTTGTTAAATACGTATTAGGAGGGAATACGTATTGGAATACGAATACGTATTAATCCTCGAAAATTGACGTATTACGACGTATTCTTTATTCCAAAAATTCAAATACAAAATATGTTGAGGGGACTGAACTTTAGAAAATGGTCTTAAACTTTGATAATATTAATTGCGAGATCGTTTTAGGAAACGAAATCATTAAATATGTATTAATATGTAATTGATAATTTCGCAAAAAATGTTAGCTTATTATCCATGAAATTTGATTACAAATTTAAGTTATCATGTATAACTGCACTCCTTTAATGCATGATCAATGATGAGGGTGGCGCGCAGCTGTAATGTTTAATTTTGACAAATCAGCGTATTACGGCGTATTATGGCGTATTCGTGGACGTATTTAACAATCCATAGAAATTACCGTAATCCGGCGTATTACGACGTATTCTTTATTAGAACCGAATACGTCGTATTCTTTCACGAAAATTTGACGTATTTAACAACCTTGCATAACTCTACTAGCTGACCCTGACCCAGTCTCTAACCAAAGCATTCTGCATTTGTCAAACCGTAACCATATCGAGAATCAGAAATTCCTACTTCCTTATATTATTATTATGGTCATGTAACGCGATCAAAACAGTTCTTCGTTGAAAACTCTTCATGGAAGCATATGCAAGTGTCATGTAGGGTTGACAAAAGGTGCATTTCCCTTTGCGTGCGCGATAAAAAGGGACATGCTGATGCATCGTGTTACATGTGGAGCGATTTTACCTCGGGACCTCAGCGCGGCAGCCCTCAGGCTTTTTCTGTTCATAAACAGATTACTGGGCGGTGCTCAGCCTGTCTATTCGGCGGAATGATTATGATTATGAACATAAATATATTATATAATAGCTTGGGCTCCCCAGGTAAATAAACAGATTGAAGCTACGGCGTGGAATGACATTGACAAGCTGAGCGCCACCCAGTAAGGGTGATTCGGAATCAGCGATCAAAAATAAGTCTTAACGAAAAATCTCAACATTTGAGTGTCTGTGTATATATTGTCATATGTCATACGTTGTATGACCCGCCGCGCACTAGTGCGCGGCTCCCCCTGTATCGTAGAAACTCTACACTACTATAGTGAAGCGACAGTGGGGGTCACCACGTGATACAATGTATATAATATCAATGATTTTGGAATTGAATCCGCGAGCTTACCTAGGGGACCCCAGGCTATTATGTTCATAAACTAATAATAATAGGGGGTGCACCATAAAAATAAACTTGCTCGGATTTAAAAAATGTTTGTACCATTGTTTTCTAGAGACTGTGAGAATTTTCACAATACCAAATTTGTCATACTTTTTTAGAAAGATCAGTGAGTTTCGCCTAGGTGCCATATTTGATGGTGTGCGGCTTTGGGAGCAAAATTAGCTGTAAAAGTCGCGTAATTTGACCAAATTTGACCAAATTCGTTGATTTTTGTCGTATTATTTGGATATATCTTCAATTCCTTGAATTAGATCATTCTGAAAATTGGCGACGACCTTCCAATAAAGCTTTTACACCTGTCCGAAAAATTTGGTGGATATCGGAGTTGATATAGTAATCAAAATGGGGCAAAATACGCTGCTTTTAGCTGTAAGTGTAACATAATGTCTGATGGTTGGATATGCTTTAAACTTTTCGGACACTTTCCTTGTAAGTCTATGAGTAAGCTTACCAATTTTTGTTGCAATCGGAGGTCGGGAAGGATACTTAATATCTATTTGTTTGAAGAAAATTGTGCTGGCCGAAATTAGCGCTAAAAAACCATCCTACAGTCGGCACGCGCGGCTCACTGTCAATGGCGCACTACCTAATAATAAAGATTCGGCGGAATGACAGGCTGAGCGCCGCTTTGACCATTGTTAATGATTTGGCCCGGCGCGTGCTACTTCGTAGCACTTGCCATCGAGAAGAAAGCGGCGCGCGCTACTTCGAAGAAATTTAGACGAGAAACATCCGTCAAAGCGCCGCCCAGTAAATCCGAGCTTGGAGGACTTCGACGCGCCGCGCAAACTAGCATTCTGATCTTGCATCGCTTTGCAGAGCCACAATCTGGAAGGGTTGACATCGTCAATCAAATCCGAGCGTGCTTAATTGTTAATCACTTTACAGTTATAAAAAACATAACTCATTAAGTATTATCAATTAAAGAATTAATAATTTGTTAAGACCTGATGAATTCAGTAACTTCATGCTTGTGAGAAATAATATATGCTCCACTGAACATTTTCCTGGTAATTTTGTGTCAGGATGTACACGCGGGTCGCGTTATATTTACAATGTATTGCAATCAAAAGCAATCAATTTCATATGTTGTGGAATGTGGATGTCACTGTTTTATCATTATTAATTTACTCACCGGTCACACCATCTTCTGTCCTATTGATATTAATATTTGAGTCCGAACGTGCTGAATCACTATACACTGGATTTAATATGTTATAATCACTTATCACACCGTACGAGCTTACTGATACTTCGCTAGTAGTATTAAGTATAGTGGGTTATGTCCAATTTGTATAAGTTTAACTGGATCCTGCAGAAAAAAGTTAAAGGGCTGATGAAATTTAAAAAGTGCTGCCCTTATTTTGTTGAACTAACCTGTAACCTTGTAGCGCGCGATGCGTTACTGGGCCGCGCATCCAATAATGCTTCTTTTTTTTTTTTTTTTTTTTTTTTTTTTAAGAGAGGCTGGGCCAAGATAGCCCACGAGAGGATAGCATTGAGATGCTCTGCCTACCTCTGGGGTGTGGCAACCTTGGGGAAGGTTGCCGGTGAAATCAGAGTGATTGGTGGAGGATGGTGTAAGATGATATATGAGTCAAAATGATACGCTTAAATGCCAGCTGGGTTTGGAAAAGTAAAACGAGACGAGACAGCATATGAGCTAATACTTTAAGTCACCCCGGTCTGATCCAGCTCTTCCGGCACAATTAAGCGTTTGGTGCGGTTTGCGAAATTGACAATTGTGGTGATGTGTTGGTTGTCGAATATGTCATTGACAGAGAGGTAGTAGTCCTGGAAATATTGACCTCTAATTTGGGCAATAGCTGGACACTGTCCAAGGAAGTGTGAGACAGTTTCCTCTCCGTCGCCGCACATAGGACAAGCACTGGTGTTTGATTTGCAAATGGTGTGAAGGTGTTTGTTTAAGCCGCAGTGACCCGTGATGAGGTGAACTGCAGTTCTGTAATCTTGTCTGTTTTTGCTGAGTGTAGTGTTGAGGTTTTTGATGATTTTGGCATGCTTGTGGCCGAGTGTCAGTTTGGTGTGTCTGGGACCGTCAGTTAACCAAGTTTCCTGATTCAGTCTGTTGACTTTGTTGTCGATTTGACGCTTGATGTAGGATTGTGGATTTGGACACTTCAAAGTGGATTCACTGGTTGTACCAAGCTTGGCCAGCTCATTTGCTTTTTCGTTCCCCCACAATCCGATGTGTGCTGCAATCCATCGTATCTCTAGCGTGTTGTTGGATCCGAGTGCATTAAGAGAGTCGTAACAGTCTCTTGTAGTTCTACTTCGCGTTGAAAGCGCAGAGATAGCTTGTATAGATGAGAGACTGTCAGACCATATGATGATATGTGTGTTGGTATAGGTAGAGAGATATTTGCAAGCTTCAATGATGGCGGTGAGCTCTGTTTGGTAAACAGTGCAATAATCAGGGAGCTTGAATGATCTTTCTTCAAGGGTGGTGTTATTGTTGTCAGTTGTGATGATATAGCCAGCCCCGCATCCTGAGTCTGTGAGTGACCCGTCAGTGTAGCAGGTGATCGTTTCACTGGTAATGTTGTCGATGGTGTTTTGAAGTGAATTTCTATATTCAGTGGTATCGGCTCCAGGAGTTGTGACGGTGAAGTGCCGTCCCAGCATCATGGTTGGTGTTGTTAGGTCTCTCGTTGCTCTAGGTGGGATAATGAGGTCTGCCATGAATTGCTTGTTGATAGTGGTATGATTTTTGATAGTTCCCTTCCTGAAAGCGATAGTTTCAAGAGTGAGGCTGCCATAAGCTTGTAGCCTGGCCGCACCCTTTGCTGCTTCGCCTTGCAGGAACAGTATGATGTCAGAAGTGTCGGTGAGGTGATTCAATGCGATAAAAGGTGTGCTTGGCATGGCACCAGACATCATTCTGAGTGCCAATGCCTGAACACGTTTGAGTTTCTTCGCGTTATAGTCCGTTTGAGTGGCCCTGATCCATATACTACAGCAGTAGGATAGGATTGGACGGATGACAGCCGTGTACAATAATGCTTCTTGCAACCACTTCTATCACGCCGTGACCCCCATTGTCGTTTCACTAAGTGGCGTCCCCTTTAGCGTTTCTACGATACATGGGAGCCGCGCACTTGTGCGCGACGGGTCATACAACGTATGAAAAGCATATAACGTATGAAAAGCAATTAATTGACGATGTCAATTCATCTCAGCTCGGCGCGGCACAGTAACGCATCGCGCTACAAGAAAAGCAACCACTTCGTTAGATCGGCGAAATGCGCTACTGGGCCTCGCCGAGCTGCGAAGAATTGACGTCGTCAATTAACAATTAACCTGTAACCCTCCTAGCCCTATAGAGTGTAAGTGTCGTCGATTAATTGCACATGTGGCGAGGTGGAAGCCAGATCAATAGATTGTATATATAATTACACTGCATGCAGTATCACTATTTACCTGGGGACCCCAGGCATTATGTTCATAAAAGATTTGGCGGAATGACAGGCTGAGCGCCGCCCAGTAATATCACTATTAGCTAGTGAGTTATGTCCAATTTTAATTTATTTTTTAAGAATGGTATGGATCCTGACGAAACATTGCACTAAACCAGAATATAGCCCTGGCCTGCGCGCTATACTATTAGTATAACTAAAGAGACAGGTCGCTGGCGCAGAATTTG